CCAAAATTGTCTGCATACTGTAAATTCAAAATATTTGGTCAAGAAAGGTATTTAGATATAATTGACAATGCCCCTTGTCGAATATCTTCGCTAGCCAAGGACCAATTATTCGGCCAAAGCCTCAACGTTCTTGGACCGGTTATAATTGACCGGCTTTAGCGAAACCGTGCGATTCGGTCGATGCTTGTCGAACAAGCTTATGTAGATTTTGAATTTCATCCCACAATTTACGTATCGAAGTGGACAGACATCTTCACAACAAAAGATTCTAGATAATATGTATTTATTGTAACGAAAATGAATTCAAGGATGAATTCCATTTTTGTATGATTTGCTCTTTTTTCAGACACGCAGACAATCGTATATTCCGAACGCATTCCAACATTTGACAAATTTATATCATTATTGAATACAATCTGTATCTATATTATACATCATGCATGATAACTCGTATTGATTCCCAAATGGTCGATCGGGGTTGTGTAGTTTTGAAGCCACAACTGAATTGCGACCCTTAAAGAGAAATGGATCTCGGTCGAATGTGCTACAAAGAGTAATTTCTGGTGTAAAAAGTAATTCCTGATGAAGTGTTTCGTAAATAATAATTGTGACGTAACATAGTAGTAATCATTCAATAACGAATATATATATGTATATATATCAGGTCCGTTTTTGAAAAATATGGAAAATTGGTTGTATGTTGTGTTGTTCGCTGCTGTCCAGGGCGCCACCTACGCCAAATTGTCAGGCTATGTCACGAGGTGTTTGGAACATATTATAAGAAACTAGCTGTGACAGCGTGATTCTGCGGTTGTTGCTGCTCGAGACCTTGTCCAGCAAAGAAGTTCCACGCTTTGCATGTCTCTGAAATCTAGAAAGCAGATCCACGTACTGCCATAGCCGAACCCCGGGGGCAGTTGATTAATAGCTGGGTAGGGAGGTGCCCCTGAGACGCTCAAAAGTGTGACAATTTTTATACCTGGATAATGGCAAAATCTATACCCATGTTTATACCAAAGTACCATCTGTCATCATTGTTTATTCCAAATGAAACAGTTACCTATGGATCTGAGGCCGGGATCTGAGGTGGAGATATTCGCTCATATACGGACCCATATTATTTAAAGTATCCCAAATTGAAAAAAAATATTACCGATATTTATACCTATTTTGACCAGAAATAAGACCGATACTTATAGCTAAAATCCAAAGAAACGAGACCTATTTCAGGGGCACGTCCTTATTAGGCAAGTTTTATGTATTGCCCCCCCCCCCGGAGCCGAACTTGGTGTTTAAAATCAAAGCCTGCGAAGTCTGAAGGCAATCAGGAAGGAAGCCTGGCGCTACAGATGCGAAGGTGGTGATCGACGCTATAATTGTTGCTGGCTACTTAAAATTCACCGGGCGACGACACTGACTTATACATTGCTTCACACACACTAGTTAGTCCAGTGGGTTTTGAGTTATTATGCTGTTAATTTCAAGCATTGCTATTTTTCTGGTCAGTTTATTTATGTAATATTTTAAGTGTATATCAATAGTATGTGTGACGATTGCGTGGTGAGGGCCGCGTTTAGTGCTGAACCATTGCTGGGGCGGGCGATACTGCCGGAAAACAGAACTATACTAAGCATATATTTTGTGAGAAAAAGTTCCTTAAGGCCCCACTCCTAACTTTAATCCTCACCTTAACACTCAAGCCCCCAATGTACCAATTCAATATACCCCTTCAAATAACTACAAGTGACACGAAGAGGGGTATATACAATTGAAAAGAGAGAGGGAAACGTGGAGCCACGGTACAGGGTTAGAATTAGAGTTATGGGCGAGAGGGACCTAAGAACCTTTACCATTCTGTATACCTAATATTATTTGGTGTTTTGGGTTAATATTTTACCCGTCCCCGTGACTTCGTGACATGCTGCTCTCTATGATTTATCAGTGTACATGCTGTGTACTTTCGTTTTCATCGTGCAGATAACGCCTATGAATTATAGGGTTCATACCACTAATTGAATTTCCGTGGACGACAATGTTAACACATGACGAGATATATGAAAATGATGAACAAAGTTGAAATGGCTCAAAAATGGGAAATCAACATGCCAGTAATCAACCACATAAAAAAAACTAACATGTTGGCCAGCTCAAACTCTTACAAATCTCAGGTAAACAAGACACACCTACTGTATTTGGATTGCACCTAGAGAAATCACTGGAAAAACACCAAGATTAGAACATCCAAATACACACAGAATAAACCCTAACGTACACAGCCGATAAGTAGTAAACAAAAGACCGCATGTTTGTCTCACCTTAGACCCAGGTGATTACGCCCTCAAACAGGGAGCACCTGAGAAAAAAATAGTTAAAAAAATACGTTCGTTCTTGCAAGGCATTTAAATTGATTGGTTGATTAATGGCATGAGACCTTATAGAAAATACCTGGGCCATGACCCCAAATGAGTTCAAATATTTCTAATATCTGTATCAGAGGGCATTGGTTGGCTGTATAATGATTGGGTATAATGTGAGGGTTGACTGCATTTCAGTATCAATCAAAAGCTGGCTGCTTTTTATTACTTTCTACTTTGGAGGATTGGTAAATTTCGGCAGATAAAGTGTGCATCAAAAGATGGCGGCTTCGTATGTAGCGATGTATTATTGCTCGCAAGAGTGCTAGCTTACACAGGATTTCTAAGCCATGTTTTTATGCATGTATGCAGGAAAGTACTTGTATTTATATTTTTCAGCCTGAAATCAGCCTATTCTTTTTGCCTGATAGAAATATTTTTTTGGAATTCTATCACTGTGACAAAGTAACTGCTTATTTCTGTTATTTTTTTTCTATATCAATTCTGTGATAATTGCGCTGTTGAGTGTGTAATAACATGAGGAATATGTATGGAAGCTGGATGAGTGAACATCCACTTAGATATCCCCATTAAACCTATAAAAGTTGTCATCTTCGAAAAGCGACATCTCCATCACATAAAACAAAGCAGTCATTTAATTTATTTCAAAATACAGTCCAATCAAATCCAAAAGTATAAGTGAATCACTCAAAAGTTGTTTGTATTAGATATTTAGAAATAAAAAAGATATCAATGTTTTATTTACACAAAACAACACGACAAACGCAAAATAATATTACATAATAATTGTATTATACCAATACTTTTTCTTCATTTTACTTATTTTTATCATTGCGATTAAGCCCAATGTGTTTAGTCTTTCTGTCTTTGTTACTGTGTAACCTTCTTTATAGTAAGGATCTTCCCAAAGATATGGCCCACAAAGTTTTCTCACTTGCCATTACGTTTTTTTACCGAGTATGAAAGGTTAAGATATTCAACTGTAACATTCACATGTTCTGGTTTAGCAAACCTTAGATATAGAAGGGTTGAATACTTCATCATATTGTAAATGCGAATGTGCTCTTAGTATACACAGAGAGCTGGCGGTCTTGGTCCAATGATATATTATACGAGGGTGGGTGACATAGTTTGGCTGTGTTAGTTACCATTGAAGTATTGTCATGTGCATTGCTGGTGTTATCGGATGAACTTGACACAAATTATCGTTTTACCAATATTGGTTCAGATGTTGAGTTAGTAACTCAGTATGGCCAACTGAATTGATTTGATATCATATTCCATATCATCAGACGGCTATGTGACAGTCGTCTTTGTTTTTCAGTGTGATCAACAAGAATAATTAATAGCACGTTTATATTTCTCTAGCAAGTACCTAAAGTTAGTGTAAGTGGAGAGTACCCAGGTCCCCAGCTGTTCTGCAAAGAACACATATCTGTAAGGTTTTATTGCACGCGGTATATATCTGGTCATTGTTTTTTATTGGATGATTGAATGCACCTGTAAGAAGCTCCTTTATACCTTCAATACTACGTAACGCATTCAAAAGAGATGACATAGCTTGTGAGATTCCTGGCGCCAATGATTTATTGGGTAGCTTAGTGCCGTATTTCTGCACTAGCTAAGGGAGTCTCGGGGTATTGGTCTGTAACCATAAAAACACAATGGTGTTCTCAAGTGCTGGGATCAAGTCTTCATCATCTGAAATCATTATAATGTGTAATACCGTAATCTTGGTCAATAAAATATATTCATAAAATGCCATAATGTGCTGATACAGGTATTTCATTCGGTTGCAGGCGAATCTTATCAAGATTCAAGAGACTGACCCAAAGGACTGAAACCCATAATGCTGTTTGCTTTGTTGACTAAAATCACTAAGCGAGGCAGGTTGTTGTGCAGTAATTTGTTATCTGTCTAAGCATTTATATCTCTCCAAAAGGATGGTCAATACTATAAACACTCATATGTGAATATCTGTGTTTTCCTTAACTTTGTGTTCCACATTTAAACTTACAAGATGACCATACTGCAGTGATGAGGCATTTAATTGCATAAAGCTAAATCTACATGTAGAAATAATAACCACTTCTACAATGTAGAATACACACACACACATAAAAAAAATGGGAAGTGATACACTCAACAAACTACAAATGTCCTTGAATTAAAATGTCCCCTACCTCACTAATTCATTTATTTCATGTTATAATTTTTGTTTAATTGTAGTACATTGTTACTGTGGTTACTATTGTTAAAATTGTTATTTTATGATTATATATTATTCTCAGGAAAGTTATCATATTTGCCGACATATCTTTATTGCATTCAGGTGTGTTTTTTTAGTTCTATATATATTAAACTGACTTAATTGCATTTTTTCTTGTACCACTGTTACCACTATTACCGTTCATAAGCGTCTACCTATGTGCCTTTGTGTTTTAAGTGTCTTTAAATGAATGTCACACATACTTGAGAAACCCCTATTAGAGGAATGCTTACATTATACATTATACATTTTATTATGAGCTATTACTAGAAATCACCATCCTCGAACACTCAACAAATGGTTATATAGTATATACTAGTAGTATATTGTGATAGAAACAAATTTAACAATAACACTTAATTTGGTCTTTGACCCCAAATTTGACCTGTGACGTCAGATACTATGTGTGACTTTGAGTCACCGCCAACAATCTATTAAAATTACATTGATAAATACAATATAAAAAGTACCTTTTGTGACAACAAAGATAGATTTTCCGAAAACACTTGAATAGTTTACATAACATATTGTTGAAAATACTAACTCATTCTGATTACATATCACGAATTCCACTGTTTGAAAAAGCATTGTACTTGTACCCCACTGCGACTATATATTATGAGCCGAATATGAAAATTGGATGCTCAGCATAAGGCAGTTTTCTCTTCAGAAAAGATTAAACCGTTCTCACTTCTTGTCCACGGAACTGCACAGTACATTTTTAGTATATGAATGACATTTCCTAAAATACCCATATGCTATACTGCCGTTATGTGCATGACACTGAATAAGTAAACCTAGAATAATTCATGGTTACATGTTCTAGATATTGAACACAAATTCACATTTCATTTGGTGATGTTGAATAACTGCACATCATGCACAATTTAATGAGTGCATATATTTCTGTCACTTACGTCTTATGTTATACGTCGTTGTTTAAAAATACTGAATACTAAAAATGCTGTACATTTCCCTTATACTAATGGTTAAGACCTAACTAATCCAATATGCTTAGCTTAAAAGTAATGACTAAATGTACAATCTTGGAGATACGCATAACCACAAGATTAGTCACGATTTTGTAGGAACGTTGGACAACTTGGAATATAACGTGTCCATTTCCACTTGCGGATATACGACATACCATATGGCAGATCATAGGTCGCCATAGAACCTCTAATATTGTACTTTTAAGGGTTTCTTCATCGTACTTGTGGTAGCTGTCTAACCCTTTTTCTGCACGTGTGCCTGATAGAAGAAAAACAGTATAAACATTATTAATTACTGAATACCAAATTAGGAAAGTTACTTTCCGTGTGAACAGTTTATAACATGATAGACTTAGCAAACAGAATCAAAGTATTTGAAGGATGGGCCTGGGTAATTGGGTTCCAATGCTGTACTTGTCAAAAACAGTCACATGTTCACTGACCTGATGAAGTATGTTAAAATAAATTAGAATTTGCAATAATGTGACCAACACAAATACCTGGTATAGTGTTATCCAATATAAAACCGGTTAATCCGGCAACAACCATCGCATTCTGTAGTATCACATTGATAACTTGATTTGCGTCAGAGTTTCCTGAAAAACAAAAAATGATGACTAGTTTATTGTAATAACAAATACATCATGATTCATGTTAATTATATGTCTACATAGTAGCATATCATCTTTACAGCAGGCGCAAGATATTAACATACACCTAACTACCTCACCCAGTATGCATTTACCGATAGACTTTGGACCCCCCGAGACTTTCCTAAATAATCTAGTGAATGTTGTAGACACAATAAAGTATTGATAAATGTAAATTCCTTTGATTGGTAGTTTGTTGCCAATTGTTTTTTATCATTAATATTTTTCGCATAATGGCATGTCCCATTGCCATTTTGCTAGAACACTCATCGCCAAATCAATCTTCTACTTAGTTTCACTTCCACACTGTCACTTAGTACCAGTTTTAAATATTTTTCAGATCTGAGACTTCAGCCGACTCCTGTTGTACCGTTGACCTCGATCGTCCAAATAATAATCTCCATCAGAGTCCCCGAGTCTACACGCTTTGACATAAATATTTGTATCAAAGAGGTGTTACATCTTGTTTTCAAACCCAATTTAATTAGCTATTGTTTTACCGATTAGGAGATTTGTTCCTTTTGTTTTATGCTGAAACATTGTATTTTGTCCCATATTTACAGGTTTTTTTTGTAACGAGTTTATTGGGACATTTGACATTTGATATGTATGCGAAGTTTGGATGAGTGCATATTTTATTTCATATTTCACAATCACATAGATCGCATCGTAGCTATGAACCGCGGGATTTCAAGACGCTGAGACCCTGTGCTGCGCAAGCCACGGGACCGCCATTGGTTAAAACTTTCTAACCCGGGCGCTCAAGAAACAACTCAGTTTCTGCCTGAAATGATATTATGATATTAACCTATGGGAAAAACAATACCTGTGTCTATGGCTTCTGGGTGTTGCATTAGATAATTGGGTACTAATATTCCAGTTGTTATCGCTGCTCCAAAGACAGCCAAACTTCTCGAACGAGACATATCCACATGTTGTAGATTAACGATAGCAATTGAAATAAACAAGAATGACATAAAAAGATTATGCTAATTATAGATAATGTAGAAAGTTATATAACGCAATCAGTGTAACAGAACAATATAATTGAATATCATTAGTCTTTATTTTATTGGTATAAATATGAAATAACAGACCACAGGCAATCCATAGCACTCCTCCAAGTACTGGCGGTGGTATCAATGACATTAAAATGGCAAATTTGATCGGAATGGCCATTATGAGAAGGATTAGACTCGTCCATTGATTTACACGTCTGCTACCAACCTGAAAACACATTGATATGGTTTAACATTAATAAGTAATTATTCTACATTATAGATAGGTTATTTGAAACACCATTTACATACATATTGTAATATTTGTAAAGTAAACAGATATTGGACAAATATTTAAACCAAAGAATACGAAACATCACTTCAAGCTGACTGGAGGATGATCTTGGATTGATGTTACTTAACTTACTCTTGTTATGGAGATTGATTTTGTAATAATAGAGTATGTTGTCACTCCTAGACCTCCCCACATCCCAGAAACAAGTACACCAACACCTTCCATTCCCAAACCTCGATTTATGGCATGATCGGGCGGTGGCGGAGCTCCACTTATTTTTGCATTAGCATAGTAGTCTCCAATGGAATCGATGATCGATCCAAGCACACCAGTAACCATACCAGTAACACCAGCAGTACTAAATGTTGGCCAACCCCATGGAACTGAGATAGAACAATTAGATAATGACATGCTATGAGATTCAACTTCTAGATTCCTGGGGGAATGGTTATTGTCATTTATTCACCTTTATTATGTATACAACCGCATGCCCATCTAATGTGCTCAAAACATGTATTCTTAACTAAAACACCATCAAATGTGGCAAATATAGGATTTTATGCTGCGCCTTCTTACTTTTAATTATTAAAGTACGATATCTTGGAACAATAAGCACATAAAGTCTGAAAGGGCAGCGATTTTGAATAAATCGATGTGTATGTATCAGATCTATCCTTGCTCTTAGTCTGTTGCGATTCCGATGACAAATTCTTGAAAAATAAATATAAATTGCGTAAACGAGGGGTGAATGCGAAAGCCATTTGACCAGCGAAGTGCGAGCGATACTACCAGAAACGAGAACCGTACCAAACCATACCTAATAACATATGGTTAACAATTCATGTGTGGTGTCGTAAGATTGACCGGTGTACATTTCTGTTTCTAAATATAGAGAACTGTACTGGTCACCATAAGTCAACATTATTCATGTGTTACAAGAATTGTGTAATTTGAAATTAGTGACCACGTGACAAATTATAATACTTACACGGTAATGGAAATCTAAGCCATGGTGATGTATGAAGTACTTCAATATTTCTATCAGTTCTTGCTTGATAACCAGGGTTACTCGGATCATCAGTAAGAACATCGGTGATAGTTAAGATGTAGCAAACCCACCAACTCAAACAAATTATCCATTCAGCCATTTACATATTTCAATTATTGTCATAACACCATAAACCATAAACATAATGGCACTATTTAGGTCCGTAATTTGATATGATATGTCTTTTTTTTAGTCATAAACCAGACAGATATAACCAATGATGTCTTACCGAAAAACGCACAAAGAATTGTCCACGTCCAATATGGCATCCTTTATGTTTACTCCATGTTAATTATGGGACTTTAACTTTACTTAAGTATTGTGAGAATATTAAAACAAGACTCATCGTCCTGAAAACATTAATGCATAATAATAGTAAACCCTTCAATAAAAACTAAGTCTTTAAAATACAGTATACAATACACTAACGAATACTGAATATTATGTGGATAGTATTTGATGAAAATGACGTATTTACCATGTTATCCCTATTTTAATGTATTTATTTTTGAGACATTACAGTTTGGTTGATCGTATTGAGAAAACTAAATAACGTGCTGCTATCAAAGCATGACATTACTATATAAACGCAATTTTAAGTCATTATGCTTATTTGTCAGCACCATCCACCAGTTAAGTTTGCACCAGTAGTATTGTGATTCAGTTACATGAAAAAACAAAATAAAATGAATACTTTTCGTTTTGTATGTGATTATTCTTACATGCATTGTAAATATACTGTGGTTGAACCTTGAACGAACTTGATTACAAGTACCCTAATATGACATTGACTCTAAACTACGCTTACGATGTGTATTGAAGTAAATATATTTCGGTTATTATGCATGTATATGTGGGTATAATACTCACATAAAGGCAACTCCCCATTGTAAGCTAATCAGGTCTGATGTAATTGGTAACAGTCCTCCTATAACATAAGCCAAATATTGTTTGGAAAACTCCTGCTATTAATATACCACCTTGAATCTGAAATTAAAAAAGTGATCCTACAATGCGTTCTTACCGTTCAAATACATTGTAATTGAATGTAAGAAAATGATGATGTTTATGGTACGAAACATGCCTTCAATTTAATGAAGAATTAAAAGTCCTACCTCACGCATCCTGTCTTGCCAGGTCACTACAGTTACATTAGATGTGATTGATGAATTGTTATTGGGACTTTCTATAATAACATTATATTTATTATTTTGTGTTTAAATTGAATTGGAATCGGGTTGTATTCCCTGATATCGTCTAATATCAAAAACATAATCACGGTAATTTAAGACTATTCGTTCGAAATGTTTATTTTTGTAATCAGTTTTCAATTTCACCTGCCAAAGATACTTATTAGGCGGCAATTGTAGTGATCGCGAGTTTAACAGCGAGTCGTGACCTCAGCTTATTTAAATAATTTGATAGTGTATATTTTACATCTATAATATATAATGTACTGTAATACGCATCTATTGACAAACAAGTCGCTCAGATCACTTGCCAATTTGTTTTGAGATAATTAAAGTATTGCACACAAAATAAATTACGGGCATGCACAGTAACAATATAAAGCGTCAATAATGTTTTATAAAAATAATCTATGTTACATGTTTACTACCTCAACACAAAAGTGAAAGTACGAAGTCAAACATAAATCCATTCGTTCATGCAACACAGCTGTTGATCGTGATATTCGTGACATTCTTCGTAATTGTGTTCAAGCGTACTTTGTTGTTTAATTATGATTGTCAAAACATTAAAGTAGGAATATTGCATTTTATTAAAAACCAACAGTGACTTCAACTGTCTGCATATATTTTTTAGTGATATTCCATGGCAGAATCGTCCTGGAATAATACACTCACACTCTAGAACCTTTACAGGGTAAACACCAAAGCACCAATCTAGCAACTTAATTATACAGCATTATAGTTTAGCATTCACATACCTGACACACCTTCAGGGCATCGCCATTCAGGTAAATTCATTATCACTATTAATGGATATACATAAGAAGATGAGGGCCCTTGAAAAATGGAAAGTCTGAAAAAATAAACAAGCGAGCATTACGCTGTCGTGCAATGAGTTAAATCGCATAATATACAATTGTAATAGTGTATGCTCCCACAGAATTCACTAATTGAATCCACCCAGTACAGAGTCTTGTGTTAGCTGCCTCCCCCACACGAGTGTTAAATTTAATTTTAAAACTTTTGTTTGTGGTCTAAACTTATATCAACTAAAATGGCTGGTACCATAATTAATTAGCATATCTGTAGTTTTCACGACTGTTAATCTGTACGTCTATTTATGTTATCCTGTTTATACACATAACTGACGATGATGATCTGTTTTCAGAATAAAGACACTTTATTAACTCGTGTATGATTCATTATACTATCAGGGGGAAATTCTTTTCTCTCTGGGTTCTCCACACGTGTCAGGGGGGAATCTCGTCTCGTCTCTATATCGCGTCTCCTCGAGGTACGGGATCAGGAAAGTCACTTAAGCTTTACAGTCAAATAAGACGCACACAACAAAATACGTTTCAACTCTCGTCTTAGTCGGTCTTTCGAGCACTCTATAAGACACAGCGCCCTTGGGAAAAATCCCCAAGACTATCGCAAGGCTGACCCAAGACTCGCTCAAGACTGCGTCAAGACTCGTCCCAAGACTTTCCAGGACTGGACTACGTCTGTCTTGCTGTCCTCGCCAAGACCAACTAAAACAACTTTATTCATTTTCAAAACTATAACCAATTACAAAGCAGAAAAAAGACTCTAGGGCGTAACCTTCAATCATAAAACCAATCACAAGTACTGAATACGTCATATCTTTTGATTAATCGTTCACTACATTAATAACTACGGATACCAACTGTCAGTTAACTCGTAATTAGTTCCAAATCACTGAGCCAAGTTCCGTCCAAAACTTCACATGGCCTAAACGGTGACAAACATAACACAGCCATTCGCTAATAATAAGCTAATTGAGTCGATCAACAGATACGCAAAAACAAATTCATGACAATACATGCTATGTAATTCCATAGAACTATATATCCCTGGGTACGCTCAGACTCAACTGTGAAGAGCTATCTTGTGTCGATTAGATATCGACTAGTTTCCTGTATGTTCGTAAATAGGTAGTTTAACCCTTGACATTACATAAGATATATGCGTCTCTGTCTCCAAATATGTTGTATCCTCATCCCCGGTACTTACCTAGTTCCAAAGGTAACTTGCAAGAAAGTTGCAACTGCTTGCGTAAACAGAAATGCACTAAAAATCATTCCAAATACGTCATTTCTTGCAGCGTCTTCTACACATATGAGATCAACTAATACACCACTGTATACCACTGAAGAACTGAACACGGTAAGAATTTGCTGGGAAAAAAAACATTAGTTAATAATATTCAGAATTGACGTAATTGAAAGCGCATGAATGGATATATCAAAAATCAAATGAATAAATTAACATATATGAAAGTTTCAAACAATATGATGATGGTAGAAAACAAAACGTTATAACAATGCAATTGAAATTATGCCATTTCTCGATGTGATCTGAAACGCACAATAATGAAAACATGAAATGAAAATTACTCAATGCAGGTGTACAAGATGAGGAAAGGAGCACGCAAAACGAGTTATATTTATAATGTAATGTAAATAATGCAACAAATAGCTTTGGTGTATAAATCTGAACAAATAATTACTTACACTCCATACTCTTTAGTGGATTCTACGCCGCCTCAGACTATATTGAATTCAAAAAGAAATAAATTAAATACATCTATTTAAAAAATGAAATAAATTACTACCTTGAAATATATTAACTATTAAAACTGACATAAATCGTACAAATATTGAAACAACTTAAAACAACAGCTACTACAATTTAGTGAAAAAAAATCATTGTAGAAATTATACAATCATGTCTTAGGCACGGAAATGTATCCGTAAATATGGACTACAAGCATTAACACACCTGTCCATGAAAAAAAGCTAGATAAATGAAAAAAAAATGTTTAAAATGTTTAAAATAACAGAATATTGAAATACCTAGACAGTAATTCTATAATACTTTCAAATCAGGCTGAATTATATTCTAACTCCTCATACAATTATTATGAGGAATATCAAACTGGGAAAGAGAAAATTTACTGTTGCTTTGTAGATATTAAAAATGTTTCGATTCAGTATGGAAACCCGCATTACATTAAAAACTAATGAATAATAACATTAAGCTATAATAAAGAATATGTATAAAAAATATAAACTTTACCATCAAAACGTCAGATAGATCAGCCAATAAAACTCACAAAGTACCAATGATACAATAAAAGATCAAAGGAAAAAACTGTCCAATAACTTGGTACAATATAGAGACTGACAATTTTGAATGTAGGGAACATATACTGCTCGACAATAAACTACTATTTATACCTCCAGAGAATAGTCAAACATAAAGCAATTAGCATTCTATGCCTTCAAAGACATAAACATAAAAATATTAACAAATATAAATATACTTATGGCAAGATACCAATTTAGGGCTCACTAATTACATTTCCATAGGCGACAATTGTTAGCATTTGGGCAAACTTCTCAAATAAAACAGGTTACAAAGATCAAAATATTGTTTTAATTTGTTCAAACCACACATATAAATTCTGGCCAGAAAAAACACATGTTCGCCAGCATTGAAGTACGCCCTCACACATCGCGATTCAAATAAAACGCGGTAAAAAACATAACAACCATAATAATTATAATAATTAATAACAATAACTTTTCAGTCGATGATATTAGTCAATTTCTTGTGGAGATGGACTAGTGATGGACATCACATTAAAAATAACACCATTGATCTAGAACTGATGAATAAAGCCTTAAAATTATCATGGATAATAAAATCGCAAGCACCATGGTCTCATTTTCCAGCAATCTTTCGCTACTAATTCAATAAATTAGAAGGGCTGGTGTTGATCATCGACTTTAATTATTAGATTGCTTACTGTTTATAAAGATATTTTTTCTGGATTGATTTTCGAAAATCTCAAATGCACACAAACCCTTATTCAGATACGCACATTACATGGAACAAGATGTGCTTATTTAAACCACGGGATGAAGTACATATGTGATCTAACCAATAATAATTGGTGATATTTTGTCACATATTTCAGTTGTAAAATAAATTTGATGTCAAGGTAGATTTTATTACATATTGCGGTTTAATAACTGCCATCCTTAGATAATGGATAAACTAAACCAAATAAATTCACCGATGCATACAGACTTAGTTGTGACAATTACAAGCAATGTGCACATTTCAAATTTCGCGACTATTATACTGTATTAAAACATTCTAAATTTGAGAGAGCCGCTTCTGTGAGCATGTTTACCAAGAAGGGTTACGCAGATAATGTTGACAGGGGGGCATGGCAAGAAATTTGGCCGATAACAAAAAAAAATGTGGGTGTTCCAATATAAAATACTTTTCTACACAGAAACAAGCAAATTGATCTTGACAAAAAATCGACCAAAAAGTAGATTTAGAACACACGTTGTGGGAATGTGAAGACAACTAGGAGTTCTGGATTGGCAATTTTGGACAAATATCTCTTCCGAAAACTTTAACATGTAAAGGATGTGATATTTAATTTTGGAGGAAAAGTAAGTTGTCAAGCCTTGTGGAAGCACTTTAAAGGGCGGTGGTCGTCGTGCTGCGCCCTGTTCGATATGGGAATCATAGCGACGTATACAACGCGTGTAAAATACAATGTCGAAATTCGAACACGCGCTGCAATGGGGAAACATAAAATATTTCGAAAAACTAAAAATGACAAACTGAGTTTATGATAGATTCAAATTTAGTTTCCACTTTGAACAGGATTTATTCAGTGTATTTTACAGACCATTCTGAGAGGTGGACACAAGAGCTGGAGCATGCAGCAATGACTTAATTATTGTATTATTTAGCAAGGGGAATCTGTTTTCCAAATTCCAAAGGGGAATCACATTTTCCAAATTGTCTTTTAATCATTAATAAAAAAAAAGTAATACTTATGGCACATTCCTGTTTTACTTCTGTTCTGTTATTAAATTAGTTGGTTTAGTTATGTAATTATTTATTAGCTTTAGTGTTTAAGTATGTTTCTAAATACTTGTCCATGTTTTGTTAATAACTTATAGTATAGACTTTCCTGGATAAGTAAATTTCCGTATACAACTTGTGTTCACTAATCTATGTTTTGGTATGTTATTTCCACTTTGCTGTTATTATTTATGTGTTTTATATGTTGCGATCTGTACTATACATTAGTGAATTAGCAAATAGCAGTTACATCGATCTGACATTGTTGTTGTTTTGATTCGTGTATAGCCAAAGTGAGCTATTAACATATAGAATAAATGTATGACTGTACTCAACCGAACTTATCATTTCGTACACACAGGTCACTTTATTTTTTCAACACCGAATGCTTAACGTTTAACACCGAATGATTAACGTTTAACCCTCTTACTTGTACACACACAACGATATACATCCATGAAGTGATGCCAGTTGTGTTCTAAAAGATGGAGATTCGCAATATATGAATCTAAGTTTATAACATACAACATATATACTGGTTTGTTATTGCATGTTATAAACAACCCACACAGTTTTAATATTAACTATATATGTATCATTCATATGGATTATGAAACACTAACATATTTTATTATCATTATTGAAGAAATTGGCTTTTCTTTCTAATGAAAGAGACGCCATGTGACGATTTATTGAAACAGGTTATACATCAGAGCGAAGATATTGTTCACAACTAATCATTGAGTAAGCATATACTGATCTACCTGCAATCCATACAATATACATTCGTACCATGGCGGAATATCATCAACTGCATATTTTAACTCGCTTTCATAAACTACAGCTTCAGTATTATCTCCATACCCCCGTTCATCCTCGCCCGAGGATGACAGTACTGGCGATGGTTCTATCTCTATTCCGTCCATGTCCAAATAAGTCCAGTTATATATTCATAAAGATAAATACCCACATATGGTGATCGAACTAACTGGGTGTGTCCCGTCGGGATAGTGGAATGAGCGGCATCCGTGTGTTCATGTGTAGGTGGATTTAGTAGTTGTACAACATGATTTCAATAATACACAGGCATATGTCAGCCGAACATCACATAATGGGTTACTGTAAATGTGTGTTTTTTACTAGTATTTTTAATTGTGTGCTTTTTCCATAATACATAATGAGAAAGAATCCTGTTGGGCAATACATTAACTTAAATTTTGACCTGAGGCGTGAATTAGTTACTAGTCTGCAACAGTAAATTATAGCCTTCAACTACGGGGCAAATACTTTTAAGTATAAAAATAAATGTTAACCAACCACAAAGCTAGAGCATCGACCAATGACAAGCCACTGTCCGTACTATCATGGATTTGTCAGAGATTAGCGAAACAACGGACATCATGTCGTTAATCTACACTTATCCGATTGTGTGCTTCAACGAAATGTGGGCAAAAATCGGAAAATGAGTTCGAAAAGGCTATCCCCAAATCCAATATGTCAATCATTACGGAAAATAACTGTTGGAACTATGTAGGTTAATTAGATTCACTTACAGCGAATGGGCATTTCCCTGGTGATAAAAGCGGTGATTTCACGAGTTTCGGCGATGGTTTTTTTTACTTTTATCTTCAGAGTTTTATATTGTTGATGACTTATTCATTATTAATTGAGATGCGTCTGATCATCTTCCAATTTGTCTTAAAATTAAATCATTTATTCTAACCTACCCCAAAATAAATCTGAATGAAATGAAAACAACACTTTCCGTTTCAATCGGAAAAACTGTAGACGAATTATTCATTAGTTGCATGGATGACGAGTTCGAAAGGTTCAACAAGTCTCTGAATTTATCGCACAGAACAATCACGACCAAGCCATACATGTACTGGGTGAAATATTTGATCACGCTGCCAACTAATTTATCTCGTGTCCGGAACCAATCCAAAACACCGTGGTAAAACAAAGACGGCAGCACAACTAAACTAGAAAACTATAAAGCCCTCAAAAAAAAAAATGAAATATCAATAGCGACTTGACCACTTAGTTGCTAAAAAGTAATGTGTATAAATAAGGACCGGTTATTCCTATTTTTGTATTTTATTGAATTGAATTATGACTGAATCTGAATAGAATTAAAAACTAAGTAATGTGTTCAACAGCTCACATATAAACAATAGCTAATAAATATATCATTTACTCATTGTGATTTTTTCTGCATAAAAACAAATCACAATGTCGAATCTTTATTGTAGTGTTTGCTGGACGTAGATCACTCACCACATAATGAATGTTTGTCTCTAAATTCATTCTCCTCATGTATTACTATTTTTTCTCTCGTTGTTCACTTGATCAAAGAGGTAATGTTACATTAGGTAATGTTACTTTTTTGTAGTTCTTCTTATAGATCATTGTCATTATCATTATTATAATTGAAGTGTATATATGGACTGTATGCAGTGAGGATGAACATATCTCCATCTATTTTGAAGAAATCAGGTCTTTGTAATTTCATAGAGATATTATAGATACGTGTTTTTCTGTGAAGCTTTTCCCATTTACTCTATGTATACTTTTGTGTAATATGTCCACCTTCATTAGGTATGGTACGTGGCGTTCAGTTTTCTCACTCAACGACGGTCATCTGGCGCTGCTTAAAAGGAACGTTTTGCAACGGGTAATTTGAAGTGGGTTACTGGCTAACCAGGTATTCAAACTATTACGTGACCAGCGTTGTAAAAGCCAAACGCATACACTCATGTTTTATGATGCGTGCAAACGTTTTATTGTGTACAACTTATACTGTCTACATGCATGGCTATAAACATGTGTATGTGTTTGAATTACAATAAAAATGAATGATTTCGTACCTGCAATGCCAAAACTATGCATTCATACCAAGGGGGAATATCATCTACTGCGTACTTCAAGCTCGATTCATGGTTACGATGAATAGAGCCATAGTCTTCGTCTGTGTTTGAGCGGCTACGTCTTGGCGTGATTATCGGGATATCGGCGTAATTGTCCTCTGTAATATCCATGTCAATTTGAAATGCTTTGTCCTCCATTATAATAACTGTCTCCAGATCACCACTAGATAGGAAAATATCATTAATATGTATTTGAATTAAGTCGCATTTACCTATCGATAACTAACACGCTCACAACCACATCCACACCCAATAATTGACACCAGTGAATTCAATTCCTATATAACCCGCATTAGCATGAAATTTACCTCCACTGACTAAACAACTTCTTATCCAACTTTCAATTCAGTCTTCCAGTTGAACGTGTCACGGTAACCGGTTTACTCGCATATAATTACATGGAAGTGGGTCATGTTTCGCATAGCAGAACAATTGGTTTCGTCTTATTACCACATAGCAACACATAGGTCATTTGGGTTTCACTGACCCAAATACTGTGATCGACTGGTGTTTGGTTTGTGGACGTGTCGCTCATGTCAGGCATATATCGCGCTTATATATCTACTCGTATATATGACTATCATATCGCTACCTCTGTTCCACTTTATTGACATGTTGATGAAAGTACTGAAAACTGTCGGTATTTGTTTCGAGGATGCTATGTCACCAAATATGCTATGTTACAAACATACGGTAGCGGAATACAGACGCAAAGTCACGTATACATGCGTATGGTTACGTACACAAACGTATAATTACGTGGCACAAACGTATGATAAAGTATTAAAGACATATGGTTACGCATTGTAGACGTATGGTTACAACATATAATTTGCGTACTAGTAACTAGTTAAATTATGGTCACAAAGCAAAGCGAGAATGCTTTATATGCCGTAACGATGATTTAACGAGTGCAGCCACCGAGTACCGATGTACCTTCAAAATGTTCTTTTCATGCCGAAATACATTATACAGGTCTACAATTGCCTTATTTAAGAAGAATAAATGAAAGTTGTTCATAAATCTACCCATTGGCTGGGGAATTTCTCATGTCGTCTCCAGATTTATTTGCCTGTTTTTTGTTTGCCGACTCCCCACAAGTTTTGAGAGGTCTCGTTTCTTCGCACATTTTTTTTGTAAAGTGTGCTTCTGTAACAGCTTTTTCGATGAACAAAAGTTGTGCTAAGGCTGTCACGAATTGGGAGTTTCTGCCAATCAACTTAATGTGGATACGCGTACTTTGATTTGTATTCAATTTGTCGCATATTCAGGGTTGTCTGTACTTTCCTCTCATCTACCACGCCATACTCAGTTTACGTCATATAAACATGGAAATTCTAGAACGCTCATTGGCTAATTCAAGACAGCCGTAGCACAAATATTATAAACGTATGACAACGTATGTCACAGGCGATTGGTTACGTATTATACGTGTGATTCGAATAGTCTAGTCGGAGCATATCTCGGACCTATGTGAAATTGATAATGAAGAACAATTGCTGATTTTAACGATGTAATTAATGTGAGTACATTGAGACTTAAAAGTCCTTCCAATTTACAAGTATGGGCCTGTTTATTGTATTACTGTATTTGTCAGCAAATGACAGTATTCGGCCAAGAACGTGGAATTTAAATGTATTTTAGAATTTAGGAGCGTAAACCATCCAAGGAAATAAATAATTTTGCGGAGAATTGGTAAACCAGCTGTTAGAAACATAACAAACGTGAAGGCAGATGCACTAGTAAATAACTGACATTCCATTTCTAGAATGGACTCTAAGGTGTGAACAATTAACATAAACATACCTTGGATTTTTTATACTACAATGTTTTTTTTTATTATTTTGGAATTGTTTGAAAGAATAAACAACAGGGACAGACGTAGTTCATTATCATTTTGTTTCCCATTGTGTAACGCAGTTATTGTGAATCCGTCGACTAGGCGAACATTGCACCTGCAAACAATTATGTTGGGTAATATTATTTATTTTATTGTTAATAAAGTCTGATGTGTTATACGGCATACATTTGTTAATAGTACTAAAATTTGTATTATTGTTTTATCATTGTTAGCATTTATTATAATAATAATAATAATAATAATAATAATAATAATAATAATAATAATAATAATAATAATAATAATAATAATAATAATAATAATAATAATAATAATAATAATAATAATAATAATAATAATTACAGTATTGGCTGGATGGAAAAATATATATTTTTAAATTGTTGTTCGATGCTCCTTAATGTAGACCAAATCAGACTTCGGTTTATCAGAAACGAAAAATACAAAACCACTAATAAGCATATGCAGTGATTGTTACATTACATGACAAAACAAACAGTGCGCATGCGTATTTAATAATGTCATTGTTTTATTGAACGAATGCTCAGATTTGTGCTACAAGTTTATAATAAATCATCACAAAGTCCAATGTAAATATGTTAATATACAGTATCAAACAGAAATACTAAAAATGATATGTTCTCGGTTAGATTGTATCTTTAGGAGAAATACAATGTGTAAGCTGCTCCATGAAATAATATTATATATGACTACCATATTTGCCAGATGGCCTTTTTCACTCGACCATTAACGTAGGTGATTAATAATGTTTTGAAATTGCGCCGCCTTGTGTTGAACTCGAGTTTATGAACATATTTATATGGTGGCGCTCTCTCTGACGAACCTTTGCACGTGGCGCCAGGGTATTTCGTTTTCAAGTGAGAAGTGTATTCAGGTCTTATACCACTAATGAGACTTAACTTGACAACAATGTTACTACAATAAAACAGGTTTCAAAGATAACAAAAATATTGTTCTAATTTGCAGAAACTCCGTGTATGTATTTCACTCCAGAAAAACACATATATATCTAAAAAATTACAACATGAATAAAAACTAAGCACAGATTTGTCGACCTTTCTAATTTCTCAGAAAAAATAGCCAGTTGTGTAGTCACGGTGATAAATCGACAGTTTCCAAGATCCTCAGATTTCCGGTACCGGGACTACGGCAATGAAGTGAGCCCTCGTACATCGCGTTTCAGAAAACGGTTATAGGCATCATGTGATTCAATCTGTATTTTTTCATATTTTTTATTATTATTAGTCTTTTGTTGGCTTTCGCGATTATAAAACCTAGCAGCAAATAACTAATAATAATACAATTTAAAAAAAACAAAAAAAAAACAAAAAACTAGGATATAATTTATTCTGTCCTGCATTGAAAACAAGTTCTTAAAATAACTAGTAATAATCTATGTAATAATACATTAGCCAACAAGTTTCCACGAAATGAAGCGATGACATAAGAGGGTGTTATCAAGTGTTCAAATTGTGCATTACAATTTTGCGTTCAAAACACTAACAATGATAAGATTGTCCAGTACAGTGCGTGTTTTCCTCACAATAAAGCAGTATTACTGAACAAATACCCATGATGCTTTTCTTCGGAATTTTTATCCCCACTAAATTTTGAATATCTCAAACAAACTTTATGAAATTATAGCGTTGTTTCATGATGATCTCAAAATGTTATAACAATAACTAAGAACAATACGTTAATTACAATTCGTTCGGTCCTTCAGAGATTGCGTATATGATAGTATTAATGGTCAAATGGCGGTTGATTTGTTTCATTTAATTAAACATATCCACCCTAAAGCGAAGATAACTGCCAGCGACCACCCTGTGATCGACGATTTTCTTGATAGGTTTGTAAGTGTGTTACTATCGAAATGTAGGCCATAACCTACAAATTTAATTAGTATTGGAAAAACATGGTTCAGAATACCTTAATTAAGTTACGTCACAATACTATGAAAACTTTCAAACGTGTATTGGTCATCAAAACTGCATATTTGTAATGAATATCATATTTCACATTTGGATTTTCAATCGAACAATACAGCATATGTATTAATTGTTTTAGTCTCATTCCAATTGCAGCATTCTGTGCCGTATACGATTGTGACCATCAATGTTAAGACTATTAAATGTTATTACTATTTGATGAAATCAGATCATGTTTTAACTAACATGTGTTGAAAATGTAAGCATAATCTTTGATTTAAACTTACATCATGAGTACACGAGAACATCGCAGCAGTGGTACCAGGATTGCTCTAATCGTACTGACAGAGAGACTACCCGATGAAACGTGGGATAGAATACAGGCGTTTAGGAACTTGATGTTTAAAGTTAATTTTAACCAATAAAGTGTTTTTCAATGAACGGTCCAATATGGAGTAATTCGAGTATGTGAAAATTCTTATGTCTAACAGCTAATGTTGGACATTGGGTGACATTGGATGTCACGAGCAGTGTTTTGTATATATCATGCGAATTAAAAGTTCAAACAACACATGCAGTGCATTATCCTGGACCATAAACATGACATTTTCAGATTCGTTGCACACCCTACATTTCTACAATCACGCGACATGAACAAAGAATTTTGAATCTAAAATGATGCACACGGTGTTGTTTGTAAAATAAATAATGTCTGTGTGTTTGTTTGTTTATTTACTGTCAGATATATACATCTGGCGAATTTTGAATCAATAAATATGCACAATATTAATTGTCATTAAATTGTTTCTGTTTGTTTGTTTGTTTAATTATTTAATATCATATGTATCTGGCGAATTCATGGTATGGGTAATATAGACAATGTTGTCGCCTTACCATAAAAAGCATATGCTATGTAGAGAGTCGTTATTCTATGGGTGTTTCACTTATTTCACGGATAGGTAAATAACAACTTAATGAATTTACAAATTTCACAATAATTTGTTTCCGTCTGAAGCCATTAAACCATCCATTCAACGTCAAATTTTGCTAAAATTAAACTCAGTGAAATTGTCGTTGAGGAAAGTGAATCAAACCAATGTGTGTTCTAACATATGATGTCTCGTGTATGCACAAGCATATTCACAACATGGTATCCTAGGTATACCAGGAATAATAACACTCAATAAATGCAGTGTATTACTAAAGGGCCACTTCTCAGTGATACAGTTATATATAATCGTCGATTTTCAACTATCAATCAGGTCTCCCACAATACATGTCTTTACTTACTGCCATATATACTTATCTGCGGGCTATCATGGCGGCAATGGGCGCAAGTCGTGGTGTTCAACTGTTAACCACTGTGCTGTTAATAAGGAGTGTAAATATGTACACACAATTGAAAAATACCACCCATTCTGTATGTACTTATCTCAGTGAAACCGACACCACTTGCAATAATAGCACCATTTATCTCACAAATTATATACTACCTCGCAAAAAATGCCTTTCTCTGCTTTCTAATTTGTTTATTTCCAAACGAGTGAGTGGAGGTAAACTTAATAGATAGGGCGTGGTGGCTTTACCGCAGTCTAAACAAACCACTACTAATCAGTGTATAGGGTCTTTTAAGTAGATCGCTACAAGGAGGTGATTAAGATCTTACGAAGATACCTAGCAAGAATTCAAACTTTTACTTGGTTTAGAAAACCAACAATGTGGAGTCAGAACATACCGGTATTATAAATTTTCTAAAAATTATTTAAAACGCGCCGTAAACATTGCTTGATTAATATCTGCCGTCACTAAATGTGATGTCGGTCTCGCAATATGGACCTTACCAAAATCGTATATAGAGGGTGTAAATTTTGGAATCAGCGCAGAAGAAAATACAAAAACTTTAGTCGAATATTATTTTAGTGTGATGTTTTAATGTGCGTAATGCAAAATACACAATTTGTTTGCATTCACGAGATATTTTTTTTATAATGAGGAATAAAATGGTTAGAATAGAGGGACGACGGGTACATCTCATCTTCTAAACCTAAAGTGTAAATCGCGAGGATACCCTGGACGTACACCCACGTGTTTTGAGATGATCCTCATTCGTTGAAGAAAATATCAGAGCTTAGGGAATAAAAACAAGTACTGAGAATCAACGATGTCATTGTTTATCATTTGTGTTTTTATATACACTGGTGCCGTAATGTGCAAATTAACACATCGTGTAATTCTAATGGACTCAAAACAAATTGAACCACAGGGAATAAATAGCTCAAGTTGATGTACAAGGTGACCATCTTGTCACAGTGAGATGACGTGTATGGTTACTAGTAAACCAGCGATCAAGGGAGTATATTGATACAAAATTGCCAAATTTACCAATTACATCATGTTTCGGTATTGCCAGGATATGGATTGGATACCCTTAACTTGTACTTATATTGCTACTTATAAATGCAATTGTCAGTGCTGCCACGGTACAAGGCGTTTATGGGGGTATAAACAAAGATTACTAGTGGGATTATAATAATACAACGGTGGGAACGTTATAGGCATATATGTATTAAATAATTTCACACCTAAAAGACAAATAGTATGTGTCTTTATCAACACATACCAAGCTTCCTGTTAAAATATCTGCTACTGGATGAGAAAATGACTCTGAATTGAAAATTGAAACAAAACGTGGGACCCTCCTCAGGCAAGTTTCCCGCTATACGGGGTCGGTACTTCAATTCTATTTGTGACACGGTAACGAGTCAACAGCACCCAAACAAATTTGGTCGAACCGACGGTAGTCGACTTCCTGCGAGACGGTGTGACTGGCTCGATTTTCCTCTTGGATGGACACATTAAGTGATACATTTACGTGTTTCTGTGTTCGGAGTTTCCCATGCCGACTAGCAATATGGCCTATTAGCGATCGATACGATCGTTATCTGCAAGACATTGTAATGAACACACAAACCACATAGGGGCAGACCGTTATTTTTGCTGGTGGGGGACTGGTTAGACCAAGAGAAACAAATGATAAACAATAATGCATTAAAAACAGACTTATGACCTGCACAAACAACGTAAATGACAATTAAACTGCCTGAATATGCTATGCTAGCCACCCACTGGCTGTCCCTACGTGAATAACTACCCAACCCAAGGTAGTAGAACTACTACATTCCATGCCCTAAGCAAGTGACCTGATATAGATTGTGGGCAGTCACGACAAACTTTAGGTAAAGTTAGAATAATTATACCCAGGTACAAACAGCCGGATTTTGCTGAATGTGGTATGGAAAGTCTGCTATATAGTTGGCATGTGATATTATCTCAAAACCATACATTCAATATAGTCGAATTTTAGCCCAAAAACAGTAATCAAATGAAGCAATTTATTAGTGAGTCGTGCATGTATGTCTATGAGACCTACTATATTATTCATATGTTTACTTTCAAAAAAAAGTTGGTTTCATACCATTTTCTTCTCATTTTTACAAAAAAACAATATTAACGCCTTGTACCGTGGCAGCACTGACAATTGCATTTATAAGTAGCAATATAAGTACAAGTTAAAGGTATCCAATCCATATCCTGGCAATACCGAAACATGATGTAATTGGTAAATTTGGCAATTTTGTATCAATATACTCTCTTGATCGCTGGTTTACTAATAACCATACACGTCATCTCACTGTGACAAGATGATCACCTTGTACATCAACTTGAGCTATTTATTCCCTGTGGTTCAATTTGTTTTGAGTCCATTAGAATTACACGATGTGTTGATTTGCACATTACGGCACCAGTGTATATAAAAACACAAATGATAAACAATGCCAATAAACTCACCAATGCTGTTACGTAACAGTTCAGCAAACTAATCGAAAATATGACCTGGTTTAGTAACGGCCATTATATAAATTGACGTAAATATCGATTGATAGGATAGAAATGACCAAATATGTCATAATATCACAAATATGTATTTATGTCATAATATGTATTTATGTTATTTTATAACAGTGTGTCAGATTATAATGTTACACATTAACATGTGAAATCGAAACTGGTCTGTTATAATGGACGTTTTTCCAGTGGCGTCCTGAAATGTTTGTGGTATGTGTCATGTTGTTTGGGCGTACCAGGAAACGAGAAATAGACATGCAAAAATAGTAGATGCGTGGGAATGGCAGTAATCGTGAGAGTAAAAAAAACGGTTTCACAACAGACCGGAAGTTCGATTTAATTTTTCGAGAAATCACAAAGTGCATACATTTATGGCAGTGCTGGATGTGAGGTTTAGTACAGACAACATTGGGGTTAAATGGCCCAACGATAATTGTATAGGCTTCTGTGCACTAATTTAATAAACTACAAATCGAGGTGGAATTTGGAAGTAGGCGAAAAATGTCCATCTCAATGCCACTCCGTCCTCCGGTTATTATTTTAATTACTCATGGTATTTTAATCATTTGTATCGCCCATGGCAACCATTTTCGTCACATTTTACATGATAAGGAGTCCTATTCAGAACAATTCATCGAATGTAACGATAAGTATCTAAAAAAAAAAAATAACCAACCACAAGGCTGGATGTTTTGTCGCTAGTTTCGTATACAAAGTGTGCCGATTTCCAGGTACCGCCCATTCACCATGGGTGAGTGAAAGATATAGCGTGACGTTGTTGCCTTGAATCGTATATAGGGAGGGATACCTACGAGGGCGTCAAAGGCATGAAGACCAGAGAAGGCAAAGAACGTCATTAAGATACGGTGTGTTTCGTGTGGGGTAACTCAGCACTCGGCGACTGAAGTGATACAAGACGCCAATATATTGGAGACGAAAGCTGTCTAATGAAACGATCTTAAATATTTGAAACAAAGTCTTGTGAGAAAGTTGAAGGTATGTTTGTAAAAAGGGTGCATTGATTTGTTAGATTCTTGTTTGTACTTTAGATATCGATACCCATAAAATAAAATGTAATACATAAAAGGCATTTCTATAAACCGTACTTCTGACAACAAGTAGTTTTAGGAGATATTATTGGTAATTGGAATAACATACTTCATATTTTATTTCATCTGTAGTACTTAAGGAAATGTTGCCATTAGTTGACGGAAACCGGGACCGCGGTGACGAAGACACATCTAACCAACTCACAGTCATACCTCGCAAAAAGGCAAAGAGATCGTACGAGTCGGCAACTGAAGTCGGTCCTGCTCAGAGCCGGGTGGAGGAGGAGCGGGAGATGCAACAACGGAAGACAGCCAGCGATAGAGAACGGACGCGGATGAAGGATATGAACTATGCATTTGAAATGCTACGGGGAAAGTTAGCTCATAGAAAACAACCAGGAAAGAAAATGTCGAAAATACAAGCGTTGAAATTCGCCATCGAATATATTAACGATTTGGAAGAAACTCTAACGATGACAACACATGTGCCGAACGGTGGGGCTGCGTACTTTCAGTGGGCTCGTGAGAGGGGATTCATTTGGGCCAGAGAAAAGGTAAGCCAATTCATGAGATGTGTACCATACATTCGGCAACAATAAATTTGTATTTTGTCTGTTATAAGCTGGTCCAGGATATCTTCATGGCAAACGTAGTATTAAACATTAACTAACCGTGACAACGCGTAAGATTAAATCGATATTCGAAGATAAAATTGCCGTTATTTGTGTCTTAAATCTAAAAAATAATCTGGTATTCACTGGATTCACATGAAACCTATATTACCCGGTTATAAATATACGATAAATACATTATTAACACCAATGTCGAGAAGAGTGAAAAATAAACACACGATTTTAAAACGTTTCACAATCAATAAGTCGAAGTCTTACCCGTGTCATATTGAAGTATGATGTGTGGTCTGCACTCCGTTTATTGTTAAAACTAATTGCTACTAATACGAATGATATGGATGTGTCTTCACGTTATCAGCGCAGTTTCACTCGACATATCAGATTATTACGATTATATACCCACTGTGGGCGACTCCTTGAGGTAAACATCTCTTCCAGTGTTGGATTTCATCATGACGTCAACACATGGGAAGTTGAATCAAAGTACACAAACTGAGTTCAATAAGAAGTGGAATTCGCGTTTTTTGGGGATTGAATAGCCATGGATATTAACAAAAATGTTGCTAAACTTTAATAATATGCTCTCTTATCTTTTTGAACTACTTCCTTGTTTATTCAAAATACAAAAAAATGCCTTTCGTGACACTTTAGTTCGACTATATTCCATGATAAACTTGCTGCGCTCTTAATGGCTGATACATTTAAAATGAAATATTGTTCGTAAATAAAAATGTGTTCACCGTTGAGTAAAATACATTTGAATAAGAAAAACGCGTTTGTTTCCAAACCTGTTGATTTTTGCCCTTGTTAATTTAAAATTGATATTAAACTTATGCTGGTTTTATTGTTGTTACGAAATGTCGGTTGCATGTTAACTCATTCGTTAGATGTGGCGTGTATATTGCTATGGAAACGGCACTGGGAACAAACAAACAGTTGACACAGCACAGATACAAAATGTCGCTTGACAAGTATCAACAACGGCTAGAAAGTTAGACCTTAATATTGCCTGTGAGAATTTCAAGCGTTCGAAACATCGTTCATACTGACATATTTCAGTTCATTTAGCTACTCTGTATATCCGATATTTCAAGTTACAGCTATTAATTTAGCTACTCTGTATTCTTAATAATTCAAAATATTGCTAATATAGCTACTTTGTATTTTTGATAATACAATTCGATTTGCAAACGATCCACAGCGTTCAGACGTATATTGTATTGTTATTACATGCATGAAAACTTATGTGTTTGAATTCTACTTGATTTTACAGGCGAAATTGCCAGAGTTTCACAATATGGCGTCGGACGATATCACCATAACAACGGAGTATGACGTCAGCAGTCATAGTACGGTTGGTTCAGACGATATAGAGTGCCAGTCTCCATCAATGTATAGTTATGAGCCAGATCAACTCACGATAACACAACTGTAAGCCACGTGTGTTTTAACGCGGTTTCGATACTAAAAAACACTTTTTTCATAAATATTACCACAAATGGTCGTCATATTTCTGCCAAAGAAAGTGCAGAGACATGTATGTTTTTCGAAGGTGTAAATGTTATCTCTAAATCGCTAAAAATCGCGAAAGTTCTGATATTGTAGACATTCAAGATATCGTTTAATGCCGTTTCGGGCTTGACAACATTCACAGGAACAATAGGTTTATTCCATTGGCAGATCGACCACCATATTTTCCAGCTACCCTAGCACCAAGGATACACTGACATACATCATTGCTTTTACAAATATATGGGAATATAGGTGTATATGTTGACTCGATAGAAATAGAATAGTTCCTGATTCGTTGCGAGATTTGTAAGTCGGATTGCAAGTTTCATCCAGTTTTCTTGAAAAACGTACCTGTAAGCGTGTTTTAGAACGCTTCTAATCAGATCTATGTATTTTATCGCAAAACCGTGCGTTTGATATAGACGATGAGACACGGCAGACGATTTGTACATTTATAGTAAAGTCTGCGATAAAACCAGCCGTTCGGGGGTTTTAATTGTGGACTTTTCTCTCTCAATCGTCTCTGAAATATGCTTAGACAATAGAAAACCATACTCGGCGATGTCACCTATTCTATCCTGGTAATACTAATTAAAATTGAAAAACAAAGGAGGAAAGTGTTTTCCAAGAATTCCTGTATAAATATCAATTTTAGGACTATATAAATATATTCATCTATCAGAAATATTACATGGAAATTCTAGATATATTTTTGTAAATATTTATTATAAAATCTTTATTATTGTATATTATTTAATCCATATATTGTATATTAGAGGGCAGATACTGAATATAGCTACTCATGGAAATTACTGTCTAGTGAATTGCTACCAACAATCAATTTCCAATGTCTCAAAACATTACGAGGCGCCATTTTATTTCAAATTTTCGGTATTTTCAGAATTTTAAATCAACTTTTACTGTTTACATAGCGAGTCTCTTTACATGTCCCTTATTAAATGCTGAAATCTAAATACAAAGAAAAGTTGGACATTTGGGCAAGTGGTTAAATGGCAACAATTAGTTTGTATTTAAAACATCAGAAATTCGTAATTTTGCCTAATTTAAGCATAGTCCCTCTACTGGAGGGTCTATGATTTAAGGTACGATTAATTCATTCTTTCTTTCTTTCTTTGCATTAAAACAAAATGAATTGTCTTATACTTCTTTCGATTGATCTGTTGTTTCATACAGGAATTTCTTTATGAGTGCGTGCGGTGCGAAAATAAATGTAATTCTTGAAATGGCCTATGGTGTCTGGGTAATATTATTCAGTGAAATTAATCACATATCGTTATACAGATTGATTCTGGACTGAGTGAAAATATGTGTTTATTATGGGCCACATTTGTTTCATTGCTTTCACTTGTATGTCAATTACCTGAAATATTTCTGCATCCAATCTAACTTTTAAAACATATACACATTAGCTCGTTATCGTACAATCGCCAAGTATTCACCACGGGTGGAGCGTCGGGGGGGGGGGGATACATAGAACCTAATGGGGACTTGCTCCTGAAATGAGTCTCGTTTTTTGTATTTTAGAGGTATGAGTATTGATATAAGTATATGAGCGAATATCTCCACCTCGGACCCCACCCTCAGATCCATAGGTAACTGTTTTAGAATAAACAGCGATGACAGAAATGGTACTTTGGTATAAATATGGGTATAGATTTTGCCATCATCCAGGTATAAAAATGGTCACACTTTTGAGCATTCAGGGGCACCTACGTACCCAGCTATGTATCAACTGCCCCCCCCGGGGGGGGGGGACTTCGATTACGGTGCCAATGCCTTTAGAAATGTATCTTTAACGTGAGTCACTTTCTATTCGCACAACATTGCAAAAGGGACAATACATTCTGAATAATCTCGTCTTGAGTTCACAGGATAAAGTACAAAACTGGGTGACTTATAAGATTTCAGAGTAGAAAACGACGAATAGTTTAGATTTAACACCTAACGTGCTGTACAGATTAGTGTCCCAGTTATTTTATACCATCACCATGAAATATCACCATGAAATAACGATGCAATCCTAGCACGTATCGAGTTGTGCGTGTTCAGTGATTTTACATTTGGCTCGCACGCTCACACATACTTTATGATATTGCAGTTTGATTACGTATCCCGTTCTATCATTCGTGCAGCACTACGCTGTTTCAACCGCCTTCAACGTTGAACCAATCAAAACTTGTTTTCCCCCAAAAGACCTTCACGAGCTTGTTGATCTGTATCACAGTCACTTGGGGGCTGAAAATCAATAAATACTA